TATATGTATATGTATATGTATATGTATATGTATATGTATATGTATATGTATATGTATATGTATATGTATATGTATATGTATATGTATATGTATATGTATGTAAGTAATAGGATGTGAAAATGACCTTGGGAGACAGGAGGAAGAACTGCAACCTTGACAACTATCATACAAAAGGTATCTCGGCTCATGGAGGAAAAGAGAGTATGGAAAATATCTCAGAGGGCCCATATCCAGTTTTCTAGAAAGTAAAAGTAAGGACAGAGAGGGGAGCAACATGCTTTCAGACTTGCAAGATTCTGTTACTGTAGCCTTACAATAATGGTAGGTTTAATACTCATGGTTTGGAGTTCTTGTCTAGACCATCTTAAAGGGGTGACAATATCCTTCTTCAGACATTCCTCAATTCCTTCATTTTATCAACAAAAATCAGATATGAGGCAAAGGCTTTAATATGTAAGAGAAGAAAAGGCAGAGCCTGGGTAGGAAAGTAGAATCAAGAGAAGAATCAGCCTGGAGTCATTACATTCCCAAAAGTGGTTTAATTCAACCCCTCTTGAGTTCCATTAACTCTGATCTAATGTTGACCGTTAGGTGACTAGATTCTTGTGTATGGGCTTGAGCAATAAATCCACATAACTGTAACTCCGGATGTAGTGTTGATTCTTCATGCCTGACCAAACAATCTTTAAATCAAATGGGTAGTGCTAATCTATGTGCTTTTCTGCAGAGTTTGGGTGCCATTTCAGAATTAATGTAAATAACATTAGGATTATATTTTAAAAAACAACAACCAAAACTTACCATCACTCCGAAGCACAAGTGGTGTGGGTGGCCCCTGAACATTTTGTTTTGTTTCTCTGTTTGATACTACACAAGTGTAGATACCCACATCAGATGTTTCCACTTTGGCAATATATAGATTTCCTGTTTCTTGAGAGACAAACCGCCGATCATCTTCCTGAACATATAAGGTATTATTGTTGAAAATCCAAGCGAATGATAAACCTGGAAAATATCAAATGCTTATTGCATATATTTTCCTAATAAAATTAGGAGTTAACATGTTTAGAGCATGAAATATTTTTCAAATTTATTGAGCACTTTTGCTTTGATTTTGACTAAATGAAATAATGGATATATATGTGTTATGTGTTTTTGTTCTTTGTTTTTAATACAGACATCCTTTTCCTTCATTTTTTAATTCTGATGTGATTACAATAGAATAGTGCCTATTTAAAAACCAATATACCAAATGGTCTAATATAAAATAAAATAAAAAACCTATCACTATAAAACTATCACTTTTATGATAAGAAGGGACCAGAATGAACAAATAGATTCATTGCCACTACTGAGCCTGGGCCCATTCAGAACTGGGCTGCAGAAGCGATGGGTGAGCACATGTGTGTGCCTAGCTCCTCTTGCACAAGCAGCAGACGAGCACATATTTGCACTCAGCTCCATTTGTGCAAGTGGTAGTTGCATGTGCCCTCCACTTGTGCAAATGGAGCTGCTCACACTCACCTGCAGCTCTTGCTCTCCCACTTCTCCCACCACTCATGCTCCCCCACCACTTGTGCATAATTATTCCCACCCTCTCCGCTGGTCCACAAAGCTAGAAAGGTTACATCACAGAGATTTTGATGCTTTGGAATTCAACTTGTAACCTTTCAACCATCATAGATCACAATCCTGGCTGTCAACTTGAAAGCAATTCCTGCATAAATTTTCGCACTTCAGACTGCATGTGATCCAGTATAACAGGCTCAGTCCTATGGGCCAATGTTGGGATCAGACTGACAGCAGATGAAAAAAAAGATCTGTGTTTTGGTCTTCACTGCTTTGCTTCTTCAGTTCCTTGTTTAGACAAGATCCTGGGATCATCAAAATAATGTGATCATATAAGACAGATTGACATGCTTTCCAAAGTTCATTGGCAATTATAAATAACAACTACTTTAGAATTAGGCTTAAGGAGAAGCAAACTTGTCTTGTCCTAACTCTATTAATGTATTTTAAATTTTGTCTTTGGAAAGCTAGGAGTGATTTATTTTAATGATTCAAAGATTTTAAAAAGTGGCATCTGAAGATGGCAATCTTTCTCACTCTTGACTTGGAAGAAGAAATTAGTACAAGTTGTCAGCAAAGCAAAACCTTAAAACTCAACCAGTATATTTATTCGGTTGATTTCTATCCTGACTTTTCTCTAACAGCTCAAGAAATTGCACATAGCCCTCATTTCTTCAATTTTCCTATAAATATAATCTTGTGCTGAGTGGTAATAACTCAACTAGCCCAAAGTCACCCACTGACTTTCCATGTTTAGGGTGGAATAAACAAAATTTCTGGACATCTCATTGCTATAGAACTTGATAATTTCCCACGACCCTCCATTTCACAACCAATTTATGCATGATAGCTATTTAGTAAGTTTGTTCTTAAACATGGCTTTGTACTTTTGGGAGAAGCAGTAAACCCATGTTCAAGCAACAACTGACAATCATAGAGGGAGATTGAAACAAGAAAGGCATAAAGAATACCAGCCTTTTCTTTCCAAATTTCACTCATAGGTTCTCACTGTCATACTTAGTCAGTTGCTACGTGGGCTTATAGATTTGATGGATATGAGAAAACCCTGGTTTCAAAAATGGACTCTCCCACTGCCCACAGAATGGCTCTGGTAGGTAGTACACAGCCTGCAAAGCAGGGGTGGTACATTTGCACAAACCTACAGTGGCCAATAAGTGATGGTCTGACCCCAGCACTGAGAGATCATCTTAGTGTAATGTTGACCAAAGTTCATGGAGGTTGCACCCAGAGGAAGACTGTTGTGGTTTGTTGCCTGATTAAAAAGAAAAGTCCATTTTAGAGTCAAACATCACTTGAAGCTGCCTCAGGTATAGGTATAGCAACATGAGAAGAACCAGTTCTATGTCATGGCACTGGACTGGGAGTTGAAAGGACCATGAGTTCTGTTCCTGTCTCATGAACAAAATCCATCTAGGTGACTTTGGGGGAATCACCCCTCCAGCTCTGCTCTGCTCTGCTCTGCTCTATTCTCATGTCAATCCAAAGAAAGAGGCAATGGCAATCCACTTCCAAATTTCTTGCAAGGAAACTTCTTCATCTGGTTGCCATGAGTGAAGATTGACTGAAAGGCACACCAAAACAAAATAAAACAAAAAATCCAGGCTATAGTGGAGGAGTGCGGACGTAGACAGTTTGTGTTATGTAAGTGAGTAGAGATACCAAGTATGTTTTCCAAGTTAATCAGCAAGAGCTTTGGCGTGAGAAGAGGCAGTAAAATCTCCATGCAGAAAACAGTATGCATGGTTAATACTTAATGCCAGCATGACTGAAATTGTGAGTCATAGTTAGACATGCATTTTCTTGTACTGACTAAAGCTTCTAATTTTCCCCTTGGTTTTGTTCCCTGTTTTAACTGATTATTTTGTTTTGTCCTGGACTAGGACTCTGCAGAAGAAACCAAAACACTATCATGTCTCAAGTGATAAAATTCTGAGGATGGGAAATGGGTGCCCCTTGGCAGCCCTTAAACAGCATGCCATGGATCAGGAGAGCTGATTAGATCTGGCTGCTTTGTCTAAACCTGGATTCATGGCTAGCTGTTTTCCTGTTTTTCAAGCCAGGGAGATAGTTAAGGCAATGCACAGTTTCTAAATTCAGAAATGTCCAAAAGTTAATGCCTTTACAAAAATAGCTCTTCAAGAGAAATTTCAGGATACTCAATTCAAACAAAAAAAATTGCCCGTGTGATGAAGAAATTATTAAAACACAAAGACATGTTTTGTTATATTGCCTTTATTATAAAGATGTCTACTTCCAGATAATAATTCTCCATCTCAGATTCCCAGACCACCCATATACATTCTATTTACAGTTTTTATTCTCCAAATAATGTGATTTTATTTATCTGAATGTGGCTAGGTATGTAAAATTAAGTAATACATTGATCAGATCCATTTCATAATTAGTTTTATCACAATTTTTATTTCCTTTGTCAAAAATGTATTCTTTTTTTATTGGTCAATGACCCTAATGAAGTTTCTTGATTGATTGATTGATTGATTCATTCATTCATTCATTCATTCATTCATTCATTCATTCATTCATTCATTCATTAATATGGAAAAGAAATCCCAAAACAGTTCCATAACTTTATCTTCAAAAGTTTCTATCTTTAAAATTAAAAATATATGTCTAAGATATCCCATAGTGGATTCATTGTCTAAACTAATCTCAATTTCTGTCAAAGTCCTTTTTCTCCCAGTTCTTTGATAACTCTATCCAAACATTCAGCAAAAAGTCACTGCTTAGTCACTATATTGGTATAAATGAATCTTCATTGCTGATCTTATCTTATCCTTCCTCTCTTAACTCTTTGTTTCAAGTCACCACAGTCACCCAATTTCCTTCTAAAATTTTGCTTTTAAAGCAAAAAACAAAACCCAATAACCTCAACAGATTGTGGGTGCCTTGAGGCTGCCCTCCAAGGATTTCAGAATATGTGCACAAGATAGTCCCATATTTGTTCAGTAGACATCTGCAGATAGAAATGTATATGTGTTGACTTCAACATGAGCAAGAACTCTGTCTCATCATGGTTCTTTATATATGCAGAATCTAATGCGCCTTCAATGCTATGCCCAACTTTTTGTTAGGTTAATAGATTTCTTATGGATGCCAACATTGTCAGAACGGCATTGCATGGTGTTAGGAAAATTCAGATGGTGAACATTTCCAGATATTCCTATGGTTAGTGTAAGATAAAAAACAGACATTTGTGGGGAGGGGGACTTGTTTTGTTTCCAAATAAGTATATGTAGGAATTTTATTTAGATTTGCTTATTTTATTTATTGTTTTATTTGTTTTATTTGTTTTATTTGTTTTATTTGTTTTATTTGTTTTATTTATTTGTTTTATTTGTTTTATTTGTTTTATTTGTTTTATTTGTTTTATTTGTTTTATTTGTTTTATTTGTTTTATTATTTATTTTATTTATTATTTTATTTTTATTTTATTTTATTTTATTTTATTTTTTATTATTTTTATTTAATATGCCACCCATCTCACTGCTGATTGACTCACTACCACTGTCCCCAATCTTTCTGGCTGTATGGACTGGCACTGGTGGTAGTGGTGGCAGTGTCACCAGTCCATGGCCCAGGGTTGGTGGAGCCTGCCTGACTACACTTTTTCTCCTAGGCATTATCAGTGATGCTCTGAATTTTGCTATGCTGTTTAGAGTTAACATATCACCATATTGGTGCTGTAACCAGAAGGACATTAAATCTGCCACGATAGACATAAAGTCAACCCTAAACATGATTTGACTGAAGCCATCTTGGAGCTGAGGCATAGGGAGGGGGGATTTGAGATAGCTGGGACTTTGTAGTCAAAATAAAATACTTTTTCTTGGGAACCAAGGACATTCTCACACCTTGTCGGATGAAGCAGGAGTGATGTCACCAGGCAACCAGACAGAGCAGTGATTGGACCATGTGACTGATTGTTTTGAGAAAGTGACAAACTTTTACTTTTATTTAGGTTAAAACTGTGGAGGTCGGTTTTCATCACAACTGTGCCAATATGATATATCCAATAAAGCTATTATTTGAGGAATCTACCTGCCTTGGAGTTTTGCTTACTTGGAACCCTGACATATGAACTACAAAAGTAACCATTGAGCTGACATCTATTCTGTTCAATGTTTCCTTTAGAATGGGAGGGGGGGTATTATGCACTTTGTCATTTTGATGTTTTGACAATCATCCAACATTTATGCTAACTTTTTTGTGGATCTCTCTTCTCCTCACCCAAAATAGCTATTTCCTGTAGGTGCTGGTACTTCATCTGCTTCCTGATTTCCCTGCTGCTCTAATCTGTGTGACTTTCTTCTTTTCTATTTTGTGGCTTCTCACCTTCTGTCACAATTTTCTTTATGGCTGCCTGGAATTTGACAGCTGATGGTGAAGCTCTCTCTATCATGCTCCAGCAGTGGCAAGAGTGGCATGGAAATTAATTTTTTTTTTCAAATAAAGCACAGTAAATCAGAAGTTTTGAAATTTAGCAGTTTAGCATTTCTTAATTAAATGTATAATTCATGAGTTTAAAACTTTCTGCCAACAGATTCATTTCCAAATGTTGCTTCTTTTCTTCACCCTGAAATTCCTTGCCATCCTCAATGCCATCTTACAAATATTATTTATGTTTTCAGTTGCAAAACCCATGGGATGCTTATGACTCTGTAAACAGCAGTACTGAGGAACTTTATGCTGACTTCCTATAATATTATGTGACTATAATTAGAAACAGCAAGTCATTTGGGATCTACAAAAATGTTTTCCTTTTGAAAATATGTTTATCTGTCTCTGTCTCTCTGTCTCTGTCTCTCTCTCTCAAAGCCTGCATAAATCAGTTAATCAAGTTTTGCAATAGGAGGTGAAATCATAACTGTAATATTTTGGCAGAGACATGCACCTGACATTCAAAGCATGGCTTCGCTAAAGCACAAGCGGAAAACTGAGCAAACAACCAAGAAGAGCAAACAAGAATTTGGCAAGGGGATTAGAAAAGGCAGAACAGATAGGAGAAACAAGAGATTTAAATTTTTTAAAATTATTTACTATAATTTTTATAAATAACTCAAGTCAGCAAAGATTCCTCCTCCTATTTTCCCACAAAAACAACAACAACCCTGCACAGTGATTTGAGCTGAGAGAAAGTGATTGTCTCAAAGTCACCCAGATGACTTTCATGCTAATGGGGAGACTAGAATTCACAGTCTTTTGGTTTGTAGCCTCGAGAGATGGGCTTCAAAAGTTTTTATCAAGGGGTTCTCTACCTGGTTACTGGGTGGGCGTAGCCATGGTGGGCATGGCCTAGTCAGCCTCCTGCACCACAGTGGAGGGAGGAATTTTGTCTTCCTTGGGCTCCAGAGGCTTTCTTCGAGCCTCCAGGAGGGCGAAAATGGTCTCTCTGGGCTCCGGAAGCCCTCTGGAGGTTGGAAACAGGACCATTTCTGGCCTTCCCAAACTTCCATAGACCCATTTTTCACCCTCCCTGAGCCTCTGTGTGTGCCCTGCACTTACCTGCATCCCAAACAGGCCACATGGGGACTTGGAGAGGGGAGGGGCAGGGCCAAGACAAGAGTGAGATTTGGGGGTTCTCTGAACCACACAGAATCTTAGCTAGATTCCTTGCGAACACCCAGCAACCCACCCCCTGTGAGTCTTATCTTAACCACTAGACCACTTGAGGACAGAGTCATTAACCTGAAATGCATCAATGAATTTCTCCAGTATAGGAAGAAAAATGAAGAAAACACCAAAGAACAGGGGAGAAAGGAAACCTAATACACAGAAGGCTATAGCTTCCCTGGTCAAAAGCAAAGCAAAACACAATCCAAAAAGACAGGAAGCACTCAATAGATTTTAGAAACTGGTATCACATTTTTTTTTCTTTAGAGGACAGTCAGCTACTACCTTTGAACTAGGTTTTTCAAACCGAGCATAAACCTCAATGGTTCCTAAAAGACTAAAGATAAAAGAAGGAGGAGGGTTGGTTCACTTGAATGCAGCAAATTTTCTATCATTACAGTTTCCTTCTTGATCTGGAATTCTGGGTTTTCTTTTTTAATTAACAGGCACCATGGCTTGAAAAACAATTAGAAACCCTTCTGCATAACATTGCATAGATCAATGAAATCTAAGAGCCATTCAGGGAAAGAAGAAATATGTTATAGCAATATGTGAGTCATAATTAACCAAGGATGCTGGGTAATGTGCGCAGACCCAATATGACTGTAATGGCTCCTCCCCTAACTTAAGAAAGTGAAGACTCTTGAAATGGGGTATTTCAAAAGGATCCTTTTATTAAGAAGAATGGAAACCATTAGAGTCAAAGCAACATCTGAATCCCCTTAGGCAATGCAAGTAGAATTAAAGCAGTAGTGACCTCTCCCATGTGTTAGAATGCAGATTCTAACCAATGCATAAGTGTGAAGATGTTTCTTTTATCAACAGCCCTTAGAGCCGAATAAACATATATTCCCATGGCTATCTTCCCTTAGACATTAAAGTGAAATGCCACACATGGCCATCATAAACAACCCTCCCCCCACCAAAAAAAGGTAATGGGATCTCAGGCATTTCAGCGCCAGGAAACCAGTTGTAAAATATCAGTAGTATACGGTGCTCTGAGCAGGATCTGGTACACCCATACCAGGGTGTGCCACCTGCAACCCACCACTGCTTTGTGGGCATGGCAGGGGAATGATACTGCAAAATCCCCATTCCCTCCCAATTCTCAAAATTTCTGCTACTGGTTCTCCAGAACCTGTCAAAACTGGCTGAATAACACCTCTGGTGTGCTACCTACCAATTCAATTTTAAGTATTCATTTGGTTTACATCTGCATTTGTCATACTAAAGGCAGATTGAAATTTTGGGAGCATTGGACTTTTTCTCCCCACCCTCCCTCTTTCTTTCTTTCTTTCTTTCTTTCTTTCTTTCTTTCTTTCTTTCTTTCTTTCTTT